CTACAAAGTATCTTAAGAAGGTGGAGAGTCAGTTCACTGGCTTTTCAAAGGTTTATGCCAGTACTTTAATCAAAAAATTGTTCAATGAGAAGTATATTGGTGGCAGTATCAGAGAGCACATACTGAAGATGAGTAACACGGCTTCGAAGCTGAAGCCAATAGATTTGGGGATCAAGGATGAGTTCCTGATTCATTTGGTTTATTCTTCCTTGCCAAAAGAATATGAAACTTTTGTTGTTAATTACAACATGCAGCCCGATAAGTGGGATATAGAGAAGCTCATCGTAATATGTGTTCAAGAAGAGGAGATGCTAAAATCCTTACAGGGTGACTTTGCTAACCTTGTGAAGGACAACAAGAAGAAGAACTTCAACAAGAATGCCAAACCTCAAGGAAAAGTCCCTTAGAATGACCACCATCAGAAGAACAACAATGCTCAAGTTGAAAAGGATCAGTGTAAATGGTGCAAGAAGCGTAGACATTACCAGAGGGACTGTCTAGACTTCCTGAAGAGCCTTCTGAAGAGAGGTAAGGATTTCATTATATTCATAGATGAATCATTGTATTTAAGTTATGCAAAATCTACTTGGTGGATTGATTCAGGTGCAACTGTTCATGTTGCAAATTCATTACAAGGATTCCGTACGAGGAGAACCCTGCAAAGAGGAGAAAGAAGAATTAAAGTAGCAAATGGAATTGAAGCTGAAGCTGAAACCATTGGAGATCTCTCTCTAGAATTATATGATGGTTTTAGACTATAACTTTTGGATATTCTTTATGTACCCTCTTTGCGTAGAAACTTGATAAGTGTCTCACGACTAGATGATGATGGATATGATTGTCATTTTGGTAATGGTAAATGCCGGATTGTGATTAATAATAAGTGTGTTGGTCTTGCCTTCCGATAAGACAAACTTTATTTATTATCACTTTCTGAGAATATGAATGATGTGAGCAATGAGAATGAGAATGTTTCCTCGTCTATGAATGCAACAAATAAGCGGAAGAGAGTGCATAATGTATCTTCGAAATTATGGAACTATGGTTTAGGCCATATTTTGAGAGGAGAATAGAGCGATTGATTAAGAAATCAATTCTTCCGCCTTTAGAATTTTCAGATTTAGAACAATGCATAGATTACATAAAAGGAAAGTACGTTAAGAAAATAAAGAAAGATGTCAAATAAAGCGCAGGAATTTTAAAAATAGTTCACACAGACATCTATGGTCCTTTTCCTATGAAGAGTGTGGATGATTATGATTCATTTATAACATTCATAGATGATTATTCTCATTTTGACTATATTTATTCAATTAAGAAAAGATCGAAAGCATTGGATAAATTTAAGATATTTAAGGCTGAAGTAGAAAATTAGCACAACTTAAAGATTAAGGTAGTAAGATCTGACCTTGGGGAAGAGTACTACGGTCGACACACCCCATATGGCCAAGTTCCTGGACCCTTTGTAAGGTTCTTACAGGAAAATAGTATAGTAGCCCAGTATTCTACATTGGGCGAGCCTCAGCAAAACAGAGTAGCTAAAAGACGCAACCGTACCTTAATGGATATGGTGAGAAGCATGATAAGTTATTCTACCCTACCGATAAGTTTATTGATGGAGGCGTTAAAATTTGCCATTCATATTCTTAATCGAGTGTCAAGCAAGTCGGTGCCAAAAACACCGTATGAATTGTGGACAGGAAAGGAACCCTCACTAAACAATTTACGTGTGTGGGGTTGTCCAGCTGAGCCAAAAGTTTTTAACCCAAACATAGAAAAGCTGGACTCCAAGACAGTCAACTGTCATTTCATTGGCTATCCAAAAAAACTCAAAAGGTTATCGCTTCTATTGTCCTGACAGACAAACAAAGTTTGTAGAAACAAGACATGTTGTCTTCTTGGAGGATGATTTGATCAGGGAGAGCATGGTAGCGTGAGAAATTAGTTTTGAAGAGAAGCAGGTATACGTGCCCACTCCTATGGTTCAGGAACCATTCTTCACGCTACCTGTTGTTGCTATACCAATAGTGCAAGACACTATAGTAACAACACCTGTTGTAAGCTCTCCTATGGCAACAATGAATAAACCCGAGGAACCTGTCTTTTAGGATCCCCAAGAACCCATTGTCACACATGAGGAAGAGCAACAACAGACTCATATAGAACAAGCGTCATCTAACGAGGCCCCTAGAATGTCTCAAAGAGTCAAGAGATCAGCTATTCCTGATGATTATGAAGTTTATAAAAGTGAGGAATTTCAAATAAAGGGTGATCCCACCTCATTTGAAGAAGCCATGAGAAGCGCTCACTCATCCAAGTGGCTTGAAGCCATGGAAGATGAAATGAAATCAATGAAAATCAACGGTGTTTGGAACTTAGAAATAATTCCTAAAGGAGCCAAGACAGTAGGCTATAAATGGGTCTATAAAACTAAACATGGCTCAAAAGGAAATATAGAAAGGTTCAAAGCGTGACTTGTGGTGAAAGGTTTCTCGTAAAGAGAAGGCATAGATAACAATGAGGCATTTTCTCCAGTCTCATGTGAGGATTCTTTTAGAATCATAATGGCGCTTGTAGCACATTACGATTTAGAATTACATCAGATGGATGTAAAGACGACGTTCCTAAATGGGGATCTGGAGGAAAATATTTACATGGCACAACTGAAAGGTTTTGTTGTGAAAGGAAAAGAATGTATGGGATGCCGCCTGAAGAAATTTATTTACGGATTAAAACAAGCTTCAAGACAGTGGTATTTAAAGTTTGAGAGTACAATAAAAAAGTTTGGGTTTCAAGAAAATATAGAGGACAATTGCATTTATGCAAAGTTCAAGAATGAGAAATATATTTTTCTAGTCTTGTATGTGGATGACATCTTGCTCACTAGCAATGATGTTAATCTACTACTAGAAACAAAGTTCTTATCCTCAAAGTTTGATATGAAGGATCTCGGTGAAGCTTCATTCGTCCTAGAAATAGAGATTCATCGAGATAGAGAAAAGGAGGTTTTAGGATTATCACAAAAGACATACTTAGAAAAAGTTCTAAAAAAATACAGTATGCAAAATTGTAAGTTTTCACCTACTCCCATAGTCAAGGGTGACAGATATGGGTAATTTCAATGTCCCAGGAACCAATTTGAGATCGATCAAATAAAAGCGGTTCCATATAGTTCAGTTGTTGGAAGTTTATAGTATACTCAAGTGTGTACTCGCCCTGACTTAGCATTTGTTACCGGGTTACTTGGCAGATATCAGAGTAATATAGGAATAGAACACTAAAAATTAGTAAAGAAAGTTTTACGTTGCCTGAAAGGTACGAAGGATCTCATGCTAACGTATAGAATATCTGATTTCCTACACATAGAGGGGTATACAGATTCTGATTATGCGGGAGATGACAGAAAGTCTACGTCAGGATACATATTCACTCTCGCGGGAGGAGCTATATCGTGGAAAAGCTCAAAGCAAACCGTCACTGCATTGTCCATAATGTATACCGAGTTTGTAGCATGTTATGAGGCCACAGGACAGGTGAATTGGCTGAAGAAATTCATGCCCGGGTTGAAAGTGGTAGACGACATACATAAACCACTCAAGTTATACTGCGATAATAATCTAGCAATATGTTATGCTCACAACAATAAGTCAAGTGGTGTTGCCAAACACATTGACATAAAGTATTATGTTGTGAAAGACAAAGTCTGGGATCATATAATTAGTCTTGAGCATATGAACAGAAAAGATGCTTGTGGATCCACTTATAAAAGGCTTACCACCCGGCGTGTTCAGAGAACACCTAGCCGGCATGGGTTTAAGGGAAAGTCTATGATTCCTGAACAATAATGGCCTAGTTGAGAATCTGTTTCAAAATAGAGAAGTACATTATAGCTTTTAATTTGACGGCAACTGACCGTGACGATAAGACACGCTCTATGCACTGATCTGTGATAGAATGGGAACAAGATAAAGTAAGTAAGTTAAGTTTAAGTAATAAGGTAAGATCAAGAGAAAGAATGTTAGATGATCTCTACAAATTGGCCCAACGGCTAATTGGGTCCTTGGATCCGCGCCCTAATTGGGAGCGCCCAACCGTTCTATGGTTGGTGGACCCCCGTCGCACAGCGCCATAAAAAAGGGAGGTAGGGGCCGGAGTATAAGGCACGAGGTTCACCTGAGCCACCAGACGCCCCACTTATAGTCCCTAAACCCTAACTGATTTAAGAGGGGGTGCTGCCAGTGACGGGAAGACCGCCACCAGCCACCGCCGCCTCTGCACCGTCACCACCGCGACAGCGTCTTCGCCGCCGGGCTTCCCCGTGCCACCGTTAGCAACCCCATGGCCAGCTCGCCTTCTACTCTCTCTCACTCTATCTGTTAATCCCGTACTAGTATGCCTTTTAGGACTCGTTGTTTATTCTAAATATAAGTACACATGCTAGATATATGGCTATTGATCCTGTTTTGTTCTATCAGTAATAAGTTATGCATAAATGATTAAGAAAAGTTATGCATAAAAGTTGTGTGTGTAACTTAGTAACTTTCAAAGGCCATGTTCGCTTCTCTTATAATCCGTCCTTTTCAGCTTGTTTTTTCAACTGGAACAATGTTTTTCTCTCCCAACAAATCAGCCAAAACAGTGTTTCGGCTTGTTTTTTCAGCGAGACGAACGGGGCCAAAAAAGGAAAGTTATGTGTATAACTTGCTTATATAACTTAGATATATATTATCAGAAATAAACCGTGTACAAAATAACTTGTATAGAAAAAAGAAAAAAGGAGAAAGGAGAAAATAAAAAAGGAGAAAGATGGACGTAGCTACGGATAACGTGCCAGCCTGCGTCCGACTCAGAACAAATGAGAAGCCTCCGCTACACTAACAGAATCATGCAAGAAGAACCATAGTGCAAGCTGGCGCATCTGAATGGCTGAAGCCTCCGCTCTGCGTAATTGAAACAGACAAGGGACAAATGTTGTCGGATTATTGTTCGCTGGACTGGAAATGAATGAACGTTTGTACAAATGGAATTGGGTAATTGTCCAGGTAAAATTTTCCTCAATTTCTCAACTGCCAAACCACTGATTTGTTAGTTCCCAAACTTGCTTTGTGAAGGTTTGGCCCTCGGTGTCTCCCCCGAGACGCGTGGCCTGCACGGCCAGCAGCGGTCGCCGACTCGGGGGAGGCGGCATGACCCTCGGTGTCACGCTGCACCACGGCGTCGCCGACGGGCGGTCGCTGTGGAGGTTCGTGGAGGCGTGGGCGGCGGCGTGCCGGGGGCACGCGCTGCCGGGGCCGCCTCCGTCCTTCGATCGCTCCCGTCAGCTTGCCCGGCGGCAAGGAGCTGGTCCGTAGAGTCCTCAGAAAGTACGCGCCCAACTTGCCTCTGGTACGTACGTTCCTGGCTTTTTTCCTGTTGCCTTGACTAGGACCAAGGTCTCAAAATTTGTACGATCGCACCGCCGTGCACCACAGGCGACGACGCCGTCGATTCTGCATGAAGACCGGCTGCGGTTCACCCGCTGGACGTTCACCGTGGACGCACAGCACATCGAACGACTGAAGCAGCGCATCGCGCGTGTCGGAGAAGAGTCCCAAGGCGCACCGCCCTTGCGTCGCCCGCCGTCCACCTTCGTGGCGGTCGTGGCGCTAGCCTGGACGTGCTTCGCGCGCTGCCGGCCTTTCCCCGCGGACGACGACGTGTTCCTCTTCTTCTTCGCCGACGTCCGCGACCGCCTGGACCGTCCCGCGGGCGCGGACTACTTCAGCGCGTGCATCAGCCGGTGCCTCGCGAGGCTGCCGGCGCTGGCAGCCGCGGTGTCGGCGGCGCAGGGCGCGGTCCGCGAGGTGACGGAGGACCCTCTGGCCGGGTGGGAGTTCGCGACGACTCCCAGCGAGGTCCCGATGGACCGGCTCATGAACGTGTCCGGGTCGCCGGGCTTCAGGGTGTATGAGGCCGCGGACTTCGGGTGGGGGAGGCCCCGGCGGACGGAGAACGTGAAGATGAACCACGACGGGCAGGTGGCGCTGGTCCGCGCCAGGGACGGCGACGGGGTGCAGGTGTCGGTGTCCGCGCTCCGGCGGGCGCACATGGACGCCTTCAAGTCTGAGTTCCTCAGCCTGCTGGCGTGACGGCGATGGGTTGATGATGTACAAACTGTTCGTAGACCCGTGCAATAATTGGGGTCTGGTTGATGCGTGCTGTACGTGAAAGAACAGTGCACGATGCATGGTTCTGGACCACGTCAATGATCTCGACGTCGACGCCATGCAGAGATCTGATGTTCGAATGTGATCGGTTCGGCTAATTTTGAACTTAATTATAAGATTAATTAAGTGTTAAGCTTTTGGTTCACCTACTCATCATTTATTTCCAACTAAATAAGAACTGCCGTGATCGACGGCAACCCTTAAAATTCTAAGGGTTCGGCCCCTGACCCACAACGCGATTATAAATAAGAGAGACGCCCCTGGTGTCACAAGCTCTCTAATTCACGTGACTATTCACATAACCGATCAATTAGGCGCTGGAGGGTTTAGAAAGGCCGTTTACCCACATCTAGGTACTCTTGCAGATCTACATCGCGTTCTTCACCAACTAGGAGCATCCAGCCTCAATCTGGTGAAGACTAAGATCTACTTCATCTACATCAACTCTTCTACGTCTACGGAGACACTCAGATGGCATCTACAAACTCTGGTTAGTATCAGATTAATTTCCGTATAAGATTTAGTTAGTGATCATGTTTATGCTAAGATAAGATCTTGTTTGTCTAAGTTCTAATTCAACAATCGGTATAAAGAGCTTGCTTAGATCCTAACATGATCCTAGGCCAAAGTGTATTAGTTTTATGCCTCTGTCAAGATCCATTCAGTTTTAATCCACTATATTTTAAGTTGGACATTAGCACTCAAAGCAGATCAGTTTCCTGATTGTTATGTCAGTTCTAAAGGGCCATTAGTACTGAGATTAGATATGTTTTCGTGTTTAAGTACAAATGAGTACTAAGTAAGATTGTTTCGTAACATATGTTTATTGGCCGTAATTTTGGATCGTGCATACGCAGTTTCAGTTCGCTAAGCATATGTATGATTATGATCTAATGATGATTCCAGTAACATGCATGTGGTGTAAGGAATTGAACTATGAAGCTCCGAGCTAAGCAAATCGAGAGGCAGAGCGCGCGGTGCTCCAGCTATGGTCATGTCATGGAGAGGCACTTGAGTGAGCTCAAGTGGATTAAGACGGCGGCTTCGACCGATAGCTGTAGTATGAGCACGTGCGCATAGGTGACGAGACCGGGGAGGGCTTGGCGTGACACGCTTGAATTGGAGCAACCAGACCCGAGCAGGTCGCACCGGCGTCGGCTAGCGGGGCGAGACAGGGAAACGTCTCATCACCACGGTGACCGAGGTCATCGACCTAGACGCGGCGGCAGCGCCACATGCCTAGAGGCTCGACACGGTAGGTAGAACGAAGGGTGGGGCGAGCGCCACGTCGTCAAGGTGGCAACTACCGCAGCTCCGCCATGACCCCGTGCATGGCTCGGTGGCTGGACGTTGGCGCGCGCAGACCGCGACAGTGGGACCAGACCACCGCCAGCCAGGTCAGGCCATGCAAGGCCTAGGCGCAGCGCAGCATTGGCCTAGCACACGCGTGGGCCAGCGGCCGCGGCTTGGTTGCAACGTGACCCCGACGCCAACCGCGTTGTGCCCACAGTGACTGCGAACATAGTCCGAACAGCTGCCCTAGGTGACATGCACGTGTTTTAAAGCATAGCAAAAGTTACTAACGATCGCAGTTGAGGTTCAACTAACTCCCCTATCGTAAAGTTCACATTGCCAACAACCTAGCAATGCCATTGCCATGACCAGAGAGCAACCAGGAAAGGAGATAGATGGATGCCAATATGATCTCATCGCGCTGAACGCTAGTTCGTGAATAAAGCACCCACAACATGATTTCACACGTTTTAACGACGTTTGAGCAAATTTAAACGAGGGCAACGCGACGTACAACACACCCACAACCCACACCATACCTAAGTACTCACTTAGAAGCAAACAACAATATCAAAATATGCAGCTAGTGTTTAAAACATTTTCGTTAGAAATTAAATGTCAAGATAGCATTGTCTTACTACTTTTTCCATACTTAGAAAAGTTAAGGTTCAGTTCAAACTAACAGCCATTAACACTTTTGTTACCATTTTTAAAAGGCCTAAACCTTATTAATTTCAACCAATAAGCATTTCACACAATAGTCCATATTTCATACTAACCCATATGAGCAAAACATTTAAGCACTCTTTAATTATTTTGCACAATATAATTCACCAAAAATGGTACTTTAACTACACTTTTGACTTTTTGCTGATTCAACGAAAAGTTCTATTTAAATTTTGGATTCAATTTTTGAGGTCCCAAAACACTAGTTAACAATATTTATTTTCCAAAAGTTAAAGTTGCATTTGCATCTACTAAACTAATACTTCAATTTTTATTTAAGTACTAAATACAAGTTATGTTTTATTTTTGTTTATAGAAATTGTTTTTTGTGCCAAACAATTAAAACTACTTTTCCTATTTCTTGTTAGGATTTTCATTAGCACATTTACGCACTTAGTAAATTAACTTAGATATTTATTTGATTTTTCTCAACCACAAAAGTGAGTCACATAGAATTTGTTTATCATCTCAGGTAAGTTTTAAACTCTTAAACCCAGCGAACTTGTTTTGCTAATCTCTTTTAGGTCTTAATTTTGGTGCTAAGCAAGCTCGTAACACCAGGGGTGTTACAACCTCCCCCGCTTAAAAGAATCTCGTCCCAAGATTCGGAGGAAGAACCAAAAGGGAAAACACGATTACATTTTATAGACCTGAAGGTACACAGGAGGTTACATGGCTTCGCCCATTAAAACATGCAAGGATTTAGGGATACACGATTAAGAACAAACCTAGTACAAGCAAAAGCTTAATCCAAGAGTCGAGATAGACGGGGACAGTGGAGAAACAACAAGAAAATGATTATCCAAAACATGACGTATGTCCAACAGATCCAGAAACAGGAGACCGAGAATTCAAACATCGTGAATCCTAAGACCAAACTAACCAACGGTGGACTTGAACTTGTTCAACAAAAACCAGATCCCTTCTTCTTAGATTACACAATCACCTCTGATTGGTGACCCTAGTTCCACGAACGACAACTGCATCTCATAGCTCTACTTTAGATTCGAGGGGAATGAGTATGCAAGAGGAGAGCAAGGGCATCTTATAGTGGTGAACGGAGGTGGGGCGCAACGCACCGAGAGTGGAGGCGACGTGGATGGGAGACACTGACGGTTCACGAGGTGGGGAAAAAGTCAGCCATGGTGCGCTTCCTGCGTGAGCTTGAGTGGAGGGAGGATAAGGGAGAGGGGAGGGATTCGCTCGGCGGCCGAGGCATGCATAGTGTGGGAGAGCTGGACACAGGGCTTGGGACATGACATCCACTCAGGCTTTTCCAATCACTCCTGACTACTCGAAGGCTAACTTTTTCTTGTTGCTTTTCTTTTCCTTCCCTTCCTTAACCACAATATGCGCCAACCTGAGATCGCGACATACATGCTTCCTCCAAAACCACATTCTCTTGTTTACTTTGAGGGAACACTATTTCATCAACCCGTTGTGGATTTCTCGTTCGAACACTCGAATATTTCCAAGAAGAATATTTTGTATCAAGAGCAGTATGACGGTGTAACTTGGTAAATGTGCTGTAACACCCCTAGTGTTACGAACTTGTTTAGCACCATGATTTAGGCCTAAGAAAAATTTTCAAATCGAGTTCTATCGGGTTTTTATTTTAAACGTACTTGAGGCGATAAGCGAATCCTGTGTGACTTAGTTTTGTGGACTCAAATAAACGCTCAAGTTAAATTACGCAGTGCATAGAAATATTCAGGAATATCCGACGACGATTCTAGAGAACGGTTTGTCCTGTTAGATTAAGCATGAAAATCAACTTTTATAAATAAAATAAAATCCATTAATAAATAGAACGATACATATAAACTCACGGGTTTATTTTGTTAAGCACGAACTGACGAGAAAGAGAGCGCAACAGCTTCGTTTATTTTTTTTTGGCGTGCACCATACTCGCCTGGCATTACTTTTGATTACTGTCTCGTTCTCATCGTGGCCCTGTAATTCGCTGCATTGCAAAGTCTCCTCATCCATCCGCATCCATGCTATCTAGCTTTTGCTTTGTTTCTCTTTGACTTGATTACTATTGTCTACATTTGCCGAGCCGCTCCTTGTTTTTCCTCCCTCACTGCTTGTCTCTGTTTCTCTGATTGCCTGCCTTGCTTGTCTCTGCGGCCGCGGTCTTGTCCGTGCCAACCGGCACGCCCTGCCGGCCACGTTGGGCCTGGCCGTCCTGCCGTCGTGTTTAAAAAGTAACCGAGCCGCACGCGTCTCCTTGCTTGTTCGTCTTGAGCTAGTCTGCGAATGATCTTCTTCTTTTCTCTTCTTAATTTAATTAGCACGCATACACTCTTTATTGCTGATCAGCCCCGTTGGCACGACAAGAACACACTCGAGTCCAAGTCTATCATGAATCAACTAGCCCAGTTGACACGTCGAAAGACCACTCAAGTCCATCGCCTGAAATCCAACACGGTTCACTGCGCCCGGCACCGTCCTGCACGGTGGGTACTGTAGCACCAAGGAAGGTCACGCAGAAAACACTGTAGCGCCGTGGAAAACACTGTAGCAGCATGGAAACTAGAGGCTTCGTTGAGTTTGGCATCATAACTGATGCTACTAACATGGAAATTAGAGGCTTAGTTGAGATCATCCGGAAACATCTTGATGGTAAAAGGTATATCTTGGTTCTAGATGATGTTTGGGAAAAGGATGTATGGATTAACAATATCATGGAAGTCTTTCCAACTAACTGTACCGGCCGGTTTGTTCTGACATCAAGAAACTTTGAAGTTGCATCATTGGCAACTAGTAATTGCAGAATTGAGCTAGAGCCTCTAGGAGATAAGCACTCTTGGGAGTTATTCTGCAAAGCAGCTTTCCGGAATAGTGATGACAAAAAGGTGCCCGTCAGAGTTACAGGATTTGGCTGTAAAGTTCTTACAAAC